CCTCTGGCCAGAGCGGCGCTTCCGCCCGCCGGCGCGCGGGGCATGCCGGGACGGGGCGCCGCCGCCATGGCGGACCTCGGGCGCCTGCTGCTGCCGCTGCTGCTGTTGCTGTCGGGGCCAGCGAGCGGGGACCCGGCCGGCTATCTGCTCTACTGCCCCTGCATGGGTGAGTCTGGGCCCGTGAGTGCCCTCCCCTCGCTCCCCGGAGGGCTGCCGCCTGCCCCGTTGCCGTGGTAACGGGCGGGCATCCCATTGCCATGGAGATGGGCACGTGGGGGGACGGCATCCTGTTGCCTTGGTGATGGGCGGAAGGGGGTCTCCGAGCATCTCGTTGCCCTGGGGCGGGGTTCCCCCGGGTATCCCGTTGCGATGGTGACAAGCACATGGGACATCCCCTTGTCCCAGTGATAGGCATGTGTGTGTGGGGGGGTGTCATGGGCATCCCGTTGCCCTGGTGATGGGCATGTGGGGGGCGTGTCCTCCAACATCCCCTTGCCCTGGTGACAGGGAGCCCAGGGCATCCCGTTGCCCTGGCGATGTGTACATGGACCTGGGTATCCTTTTGCCCTGGTGATAGGCAGAAGAAGGTCCCTAGTATTCCTATTGCCCTGGTCAGGGACACAGGAGGGGGTGGGTCCCTGAGCATCCCATTGCCCTGCTGACGGGCACGTGGGGGGGCCCTGGGCACCGTGGGCATGTTGCTGACCCCTCTCTTTTCCCCGTTCTTGCAGGGAGGTTTGGGAACCAGGCGGATCACTTCCTGGGCTCCCTGGCATTTGCCAAGACCGTGAATCGCACCCTGGCTGTGCCCCCCTGGATCGAGTACCGGCACCACCGGCCTCCCTACACCAACGTGAGTCTCCCCCGGTGCCTCAGCACCCTCCGTGCGGGGTGCTTCAGCGCCAAGAGCTGGCCCTGCCCTATGCCAAGTTGGCAGCGGCTCATGTTGCCTTGTGAGCATCCCTTTCCCCATTGGTCCAGAGCTTGTTGTAACAGGCCCCAACGCATGCTAAAGGCTGTAGGGGTGCAAGGAAGCCGTAGCCACAGCTCTAAGGAGGTTGTCATTTCCCTTGGGGGGCTCGAGAGATGCACACCTGCTTAGCTGACCTGGTGGTTGGCTTGAAAATGTGGAAGCCAGTCAGGTTTCTTGGTTTGCTTCTGCGTTGCTTTTATTCAGTATGACAGGCAGCGTGACAGGGAGCTCTGCGGTTTACGAGGTAAAGCAATGTTTCCAAAGTACGCTGGTGAAATGTGAAGTGTTTGTTCTTATTTGTGGCCAGGGGTCACAACCTGTGAGTAGCAGAACTGGCATCCCAGGAGTCACGACTTCCCATGTTATGTTCTTCCCTCTCTAGATTGTCCCTCTTCATACACCTCCCCACCCCCCATTCAATTACTGGGAAGCTGTAGGCTGTCAAACATGAATGTCACTGGACCTACAGATGCCCTGAGCTATTGATCCTGCCCTCACTAAATGTTAATGGAGATGTAGCCAGGACTGACTTCTGGTTGCTCAGCGAGTGAATCTGTTTCTCTCATTTACAGCTGCATGTTTCCTACACGGAATACTTCAAGCTGGAGCCTCTGCTAGAATATCACCGGGTTATCAGCTTGGAGGAGTTCATGGAAAAACTGGCACCAGTGCACTGGCCCCCCGGCAAGCGAGTGGCTTACTGCTTTGAAGTAGCAGCCCAGAGAAGCACCGACAAAAGGTCTTGTCCCATGAAGGTAAATTTCCTGCTCCTAGTTTGCTAGGTTAAAAAAGAGGATTGCTGTGGTTCCAGACTTGTACTTGTTGGCTAATATGTTTGGGCCTGACCTAAAGCTCATTGCAGGATTTGGTAGGGCTGTGTGAGAGTGATTTATCATTTTCAAATGAATAGTTACTTTGGGCAAAAAGGACCTTAAAAAAGCAGGTGTTTCCCTGGCCTCTTCCACAGAACCCCCATCCATACAGTATTGCTCAGCTGATTGGATAAGCCCTGCTCTTTTAGGATAAATGGTCCCAGGGGTGCTAGGCCTGTGTGCCTTGATATCCTCTAAAATGTTTTTGGAATGGGCTTTATTTTGCTTATTATAAAAATCTTCAGAGTTCTTCTGCTTCTTCTTAGTGAGCTGCTGGGTGATGAACAAAGTCAGCTGTGATTGCTCCCCCTTCTGTAGCACAGTTATGGCTGCAGATCAGTCAGTCCAACTCCTCCATTTTCTTACTGATTTCAGCTCTGAAGGCAGAGATTCTGTCAGAAATTGCTGGTTTACACATGGTGGGGCTATGTCTGTTGAACAGTTCTCTTTGTTTTGTAGGATGGAAACCCATTTGGTCCATTTTGGGATCAATTCAATGTGGATTTCGATAGATCTGAGCTCTTCCGAGGCATTTCCTTCAGTTCCTACTACAAGGACCAGTGGATGCAAAGGTATTAAGGGCCTGGGGAGGTTGAGCGCAGTGATGGATTGGGTGATACCAGCAGTTGGACATACATAGGTACTTGGAATGGCTCTGAGGAAAGCAGTGGTGTAGTTACATTTTCGAGTCCATTCATCATTTTGAGGTGGTTTGAAGTGACTATTTGACATTGCAACTGTTAACGTATAATCAAGGACAAACCTTGAAGCTATTTCCAGGGATTATTAGCCCAGCAATCAGTTCCTTTGCCCAGTATGCCTTGCGAACTATGTAGGGCTGATTGAGTTATCAGCCAAAGATTGATTAAGTTTAATTACTCTGGTCTCAGCCAGAGTACAAAGATTACACTACACTTGACTTTTGTCCATCATACACCTCGTGTTATCTACCTCACATTAAGCTACAACTGACTTAATATGTATCACTACAGCAGCTTTACCTATCTGAACTGTTTTAGCTAGGGATGGGAAGCATCTATATTCTGTTTAAGTAGCTATTATATTACCATGAATGTCAGACTTGCTTGTTTTTCCTTTGTCCTCTAAACTATATTAATTTTGGATTCGTTATTGAATCAGAGGTAAAAAGCAGTGTCTGATGACTTTGTCAGTTGTGTGTAATGTTGTAATTCCAGTGTTGAAATGGTGAGGATTTTCTAATGCCAGATCACTTGTTTTTGTAGAGTCTCTGACATTTCTGCTTTGTCCTTGCAGGTCTATTCAAGGTCATAACATTTCCTGGCCACCCTTTCCCTGTCTCTCCTGTTTCCCAGAGAGCCTGTAAACACACCATACTTCCATCTCGTTTCTTTTTCCAGGTTTCCACCTTCAGAACACCCTATTCTTGCCCTGCCTGGAGCACCAGCTCAGTTTCCAGTGTTAGAGGAGCATCGGCCTCTGCATAAGTATGTCGTGTGGTCTGATGAGATGGTGAGGAAGGGAGAGGAATATATTCATTCTCTTCTGGTCAGGCCTTACGTAGGAATTCATCTGAGGATTGGTTCAGACTGGGTACGTTGCTTGCATAGATTTCAGTGCATGTCATGCATGTGGGTACTGCCAGTGCCATGCATGCAGTGCCATGGACTGACAGCCACCATTCCTTTAGACAAGTTTACTAGAAAGCCCTGATATGATCATCCCCTCTGGCACTAGAGTCTAAATCCAGTTTGTGCTCCTCTACCACCTGAAGTTGGACTTGGGGTCGGATCAGATTCTAATTGTTACTTTCACACATGGTGTTTTCTTTTCCTTTCTTCAATAGAAGAATGCTTGCAATATGCTGAAGGATGGGACAGCTGGGCCTCACTTCATGGCTTCACCACAGTGTGTAGGCTATGACCGAAACACAGCTATGCCTCTCACCATGGATATGTGCCTTCCAGACCTGACAGAGATCAAGCGTGCGCTCAAGCTCTGGGTGAAGAAGGTAGAAGCAAAATCTGTTTACATTGCCACTGATTCTGACCCCTATACCAAGGAAATACAGCAACTTTTCCAAGGAAAGGTAGGTTTGCAGATTCTTGGACTAATGGTGCTGCCTCAGTAGCATCTTTGCCCCCATTTTCCACTTATGCAACACTTGCCACTGCAAGCTATGGTCATTTGGTTGTATAGTAGCTGTTCAGTGAAATTGTGGCTTGTTTAAAGCAGGTAATGCTCGCTGTGTAACCATGTTGCTGCAGGTAGCCTAGTGTCAAAGGATGAGATGTCTCTGGTGGTGCTGAGTGTCATCAGAGTGATGGGTACTCAGAATCTTGTAGGACTGAGTCCTCAATGGGCTGCCTGTGATGCCAGTCTAATGGTTGGTTCCAGTTTGGTGGATCTGCAGCTTTTTGACTCAGACCTGGCTCTAGCTAGTTGGTGTCAAGTGAAATGTTATTGCCCTTGTGTAGAGCAATGCAGACACTAGGAAATGGCTACCTATATATTGGAAATCTCAGTTATTGACACCTGAAATAAAAAACAAACTTTGTCCACAACAGCAAGACTTAGATGCTCAGACTGTAGAAAATGTAGACTCCTCCAGATGTAACAGTCCCAGGTCTGTATTTTGATGGATTTTGTCCTAGAAAGGACTTGGGCTAAATCTTACAAAAGAAATATCACATTGGTGAGGTGTCTTCGTGATTGTAGTAGTCACTGGAAACCCAGAAAGGGCTGTTTTAGATGAGGGTAGGAGAAAGTAGTGGGTAGATTCCAGTTTGTACCCCAGCTTGCAGTGTTATTAAGAATCGATGTTTGGTGCCGTGTTGCTTGGATTAACTTGCTCTGTCTGTTTCTTTGTGCAGGTCAAAGTGGTGAATTTGCAACCTGAAGTGGCCCAGATTGACTTGTACATCCTTGGCCAGTCTGATCATTTTATTGGGAACTGTGTTTCTTCATTTACTGCCTTTGTGAAGCGAGAGCGTGATGTGCACGGGAGACCTTCCTCATTTTTTGGCATGGACCACCCGCCGAGGCTGCGGGATGAGTTTTGACCAGGACCCAAACAAGCAGTAGTTTTTGTTTTTAGAGCTGTGAACTCAGGAGCCCTGTTGACAGATAGACCAGGACACAAACATTTTCATAAAAGAATAGGATATGCCAGCTGTATTGATAGGCCTGTCCTGAGGCCTTCATTTCATCCTTGTGTTAGTTTCGGGATTCATTCTCACTGACTTCTCAGTTTCGCCATGTTGCCAGCATGAGATCAGAAAAGGAAAGTGAATTTTAAACGCTGTACATTATATGAAACCTTCCATTCTCCTTATTTTGGATTATCAGCTATCTTGATTAGGTAGCTATCCACATTTCATCTTTCTCTCACGTCTTGTTGTTTTTCCTGGAGGTACCAGGAAGGTTCTTGTCATGAAGAATCATTCCGGGTTCTCTGTAAGTGCTAAGTATTATTGAAAGGGAACATGCTCCATGAAAGGAACATGGCTTCAGGCTCAGGACTTCAGGGATCAGATGATCTGGGTTTTATTCTGAGTGCTACTGCTGTCCCATTATGGGCCAGTCAGATCTGTGCCCCAGTTTACCTGTCTGTAAAATGGGTTTCATACCTACCTCACTGGAGTGTTATTAGGATTGATCCATTACATTTGCACATCACTTTGAGATCTCTAGGGTGCTTCAGAAGTACAGTGATGGTATATCAGAATGATGCAGGTACCTGTTCAACCTGTCTTAGAGACTGAACTGACCTAGGGAGCATGGGGCAATGTCATGACAAGCTATTGGAGCTGGGTGTTTGTAACTTCACAGATTTAATTACTGTTGTCATATGGTGGGAGGGAGAAAGGGATGGCTTTGGAAGCTAAGATTTTTAGAGGAAATGGATCTGGTATAAAATAACCTTAGCAAAGGATAAGGAGATGGTGACGACAGCGTGTGCCTTGTCTTATTTTGGGTGAGTGTTTTTCTGCCCTCTCCACAGACTGCATAATCTGATCCTCAGTGCTGGTTCCTGGTACTTTAACTGGGGACTCATCCTCTTGTGGCAAGATAGTCTCGGAAACCAGGATTAGGCTGTGGCCCAGGACAGGTTAGTTTTCCATTGGTGACTCTGGAATTTTGTTTCCTATCTCTGTGCGAGCCAGTCACCGTTTGGCCAAGGCCCCTTGTTCCTGTGACATCTTGTAACGGATTGGATATGGCACTATCTCCATTTACTTTCTCCTATTGGCTCTATGAGGACACAGATTCACAGAAGTTTAGGGCTGGAAGGGACCTTGTGAGATCACTGGGTCCAGCCCCCCTGCTCTGGGCAGGAGAGACTGCTGGGGTCAAATAGCCCCACAAGGTGTGCGTCCAGTCTCCTTTTGATGATCTCTAGGGTAGGTACCCTGGACATATTCTAATGTGCTTGTTGGTCTCTTTTCTCTTGGAGCATTTTATTTTGTTTTAGTTGCAGATATTTTCGTTCCCTGTGGTTTGAAGAGAGGAGATGAGGCCTGGCTGAGGTTGGAAGCCACCCAAGTTGTAAGATAGCCTCCTGCTTCTCAGTGCTAATTCCAGAAATGTATGGGGCCAAGTTGTTTCAGTGAGGCTAGTTGTGAGTATTCCAGGTGTTGGACTACTGCGTATTTATGTAACTGGAAGCCCATAAACCAAATTGATCTATAGCTCTAGTATTTTTCCTCCTTTTTTTAGTCCAGACTGATGCAATCAAGACTGCTTTGGTTAGAAGTGGGAAATGATGATGCTTTCCCAAGATATCATGGTTGAGAAAATGTATTTTGACTCTTTTTACAAAAAATGTAATTTTGTATTTCTTTCCGCAATAAAACATTGAAACTTATTTTATTTTAAATATTCCTTTTTATTCACACTGAATTCTTATCCATATTTACATTAAAGTATTTGGCCCTAGTTCAGCCCAGATCAGCATCGTCAAGGCTGCAATATCATCTTAAAAAAGTATATATCCTTTCCAACATCCATCATTTCAAATATGGACATCCAAACGTACAAGCTATTAATAATGTGTTTAACTAAGCAATTGTTGTGGAAGAAGTCCATGGCTTATAGATGTGCTTATGGTTGCTTACTCTCAGACAGATCCCTCCATGTGTGTGCTTTCTGTTTAAAGTTTTAGGAGTAACAGCTTTTCTGTAATAAGGAGTTATTCAGCATTTGTGTTTTTCAATTCATATTGTACTGTGATCCAAATTAATTTTCAAGTGTGGGTGAGCACTCAGATGTTCATGTGTTAGGAGGTTTTGGATGGTGCTTGCTCCCCCTCTTAGCTGCTGCAATAGTAAGGAGAAAATTGCTGTTTTTAAGGGGTGTTGGTTGTAGCTGTGCTGGTCTAGGGACATAGCCAGACAAGGTTCTTTGGGCAAATGTGATCTTTTATTAGTGTGGCAGAAAGCCACCTTGGTTTATCCCCAAATTCTCTGCCCTGTGACAATGAGATTAAAATAGGCCTATCACAGAGGATTCACACCTCAGCCTATCTCTTTAGGTAACTTGAGCTGGCTGCATTCCTGAGGGAGGGGGAAACCTGCTCCCTCTGCCTACCTGACTGGTATCAGCCACCTGGGTGAGGGGCATCTACCTGATGGGCTGAAGTCTGCCCGGTAACTGGTGATGTATTTCAAATTGGTTGGCGGAGAGCCAACCAGAGCTGACCTCCACTGGGCCAGGTGAATGAGGTCACAGGGTCTACATAAGTTAGGACTGCCCAGGAGGAGGGGGCAGCAGCCATGCAGGGGACACAGAGAAGTTTTACCATCTGAAACTGGCTCTCTCCCCCAAAACTCATGTGCAAGGAATTGCCTGCCTCCAGAGGGGAAACTTCACCAGCCTTTGGAAGATGCTTGTGAGTAAGCTACTCAAGATCTGATTAGATATCTAGCTGGCAGTAACTCAGATGCGTGATCAAAAGGCTACCTCAGCCAGACTGTTTGCTCTTTAGGATTTCTAGGATATCGCTCAATCTTGTACCCTATTTTCACCCTACCCCTGTAACCAATAAAGTCTTCCTTTGTGACTGGTGTGGGAGACTTATTGAGGGGTGGGTCTAAATTATGCCTAAGAGACCCCTTAGGTCTGCGGACTAAGGGAGACTGTACTGTTTGCCCCTGGACTTGGGGAAGTGCCCCAAGTGCCTGTACTGGGTCGAGTACCCGTAGGACATTAGGCCTGTGCTTCCCCAAGGACACAGGGCCGGGAGTGAGTCCATTCTTGGGGTGGTGGCAGTGACATTACCCCCAGGCTAGCGTATGTGCTCCAGGAAGGGGTCGAGCCGGACATAAGGCACCCCTAGGGAGGCATTCGGAGCCTGGCAGGTGGTCAGGTGCAGGGAGGTGGGCGGCTTAACACAGGAGCGCCCCCTACTGGCCCGCCACAATTAGACCAACTGGATAGTTGGAAAAATTGTTCTTTGCAAGTTTGCAGGCACAGGTGCCTTTCCTTAGGCCTAGGAAGTCTGCTGGTCTCTTTCCTCTAGGGTCCAGATAGAAGCTTGAGCCAATATATAACATAGATCTGCCACACACTTGCATTTTCATAGACCTACTTTTTTCATATTGGCTTAAGCTTCTATTCAGACTCTAGAGAAAAGACACAGAACAGCAGACTCTCCCCAGGCTGGAGGAAGGGTGCCTGTGCCCAAAAACTTGCAAGGAACTATTTTTCCAAATTATCCAGTTGGTCTAATAAATGATATCATGTTTACCACTTGTCTGTTTTTAAGAGGACATTTTTTTTAAACGCAAAATTCAATGAAACCTTGAGACTCGAGTCCAGTGTCTTTTTAAGTGCAAACTTCAACCTTTCCCTTAGTTTTTGGGAATGTGCATTTCTGATAGTTTATAGTTCTCTGAACTGCCCATGCTGCAGGTTTCATGTGTTGTCTTCCTAAGTATCTGAAGCTGGCCACATTGGTTAAAGGATCCTGGTTCATAATCATAAGTAAGTTGGGCTGGAAGGGACCTGCAGGGATCATCTAGTCCAGTAGTTCTCTACCTTTTTTGTATTAGGACCCACTTGTAAACATCGACAGTCAGTCCTAACCCATTGCCCCTGGCCCTCCACTATGTGGGGCAGGGGGGGCCCAAACAGCTCCTTGCAGGCTGGAGCTCTGCCAGCCTGCAAGGGAAAGGCCATGGTTTCCCATGTTTTTCTCCTTTAAAAGAAAATCCATTTTTAAAGTTTGTTCATGAACCTCCTGCATATGCATACAACCCGTTTCGGGTCGCGACTCACAGGTTGAGAAATGCTGCTCTAGTCCAACCCCCTGCCTCAAGCAGGATCAGCCCTATCCAAACACTTGACAAAAGACTCCTGTCAACCCCGACCCAGCACAGATGTCCTCTTGCACCAGGACGTGCATGTCCCTGGGTTCTGCAGGAGCTGCTGGGTGCCAGCGGTTTGCTTCTCCAAACACATCACCAAAAGCAGGCAGGCTCCCAGTAGGGGCTGGACACACATCGGCAACACGCAAAGCCAGGCCCTGCCCCATGGCTGCTCTGCACCTCTGGAGCTGGCTCCAGGGGGGCAGAAAGAACCTGTCTTTCCCTCCAGAGCCTCAGGCCTGCCCCTTTGAAGCCAGGCTCGCTGTTCCTCTTTTGGAAACGGAGGGAGCCTGGCATGGCGCCCCGGGGGCTGTGCCTTGCCCTTCAACTCCCAGTTAGGACAGCGTGTCCCACGCCCAGCAGCCTGTGCCAAACCACGTGCACACAAGCACCCAGCTCCGCGCATGCGCACGACGTCCACCAGAAACCCCTAGCCCCGCGCATGCGCACGGCGTCCACCAGCAAGCGCCCCCCCAGCACCCCCTAGCTCTGCGCATGCACACGGCGTGCCCCCGATGCAACACGGCCCTCCTGCCGGAGGCCGGGGTCCGTTGCTAGGGAAGCGGAGGCCCCTCCCCTCTAGGCCGGGTCCCTACGGAAGTGAGGCCCGTTGCTAGGCCGGATTGCTAAGGAAGTGATGGCTTGGGGGCGGGCACTCGTGTTGCCAAGGAAGTGAGCGGTAGTCGCTCCCCTTCCCCCCCCCC